CTCGATACCTAAACTGGGCTTGTGCGCATCTCCGGCTTTCTTGAGAAGTTGGCCCAAAACCACCCCAAAGGATCCTGTCTCTTTTTGCGTATCGGGATGTGTCTCATCTGTCTCAAGCACAAGCATGCGGACTTTATCCGGATGATTGGACAGGAGTGTCCGGTTTTGTGCAATCGGTGGTACCATCTTCGCTGTCGTCGTGTGGAATTGGCGTGGCGTGGAGATAAGGAAGTTGTGTGAGTTGCCAGGTTTGCAGGCCGTAGGTCTATGTACACAGGGTCCAGCAGCTCTTTTTGCGAAAAGTGACGTCTGTCGTAGAAAGTTTTGCCCAGAGGTGACGACGCGTGCAGGTTTGTACATAATCAGGGCAAGTCCGGGGAGTCAAGTGCGAATACCCAGCGCCGCCGCGCCGTCCAGAGCAGTCTCATGTAGTGTGCTTCGGCCTCCATCTTGGCAATGTCGTGTTTGAGAGTTCGATGACGACTTCGCTCTGACGTCGGGTAGCGGTGGACAGAGTCTTTGGCCTAAAGTTGAAAGTTTAACGTAATAGCGAGGTCTTGGAAGCTCTGGTGGATTCCGATGTCCCGGCGAATTCGGAACATGACAGACGCTACCACGCTAGACATGCAGGTACTGGAAATCGATGTGGCTGCGTGGCTGAGCGCATCGGTTTGATTCGTGTATTTTATTTACCCACTAATTTCATGCTGTGGCTGCTGCATCTACTCCACGCCCTTTCCCTTCATCTTGAGGTCTTCGGGATCATGCGGGGCTTCGGCTTTCTTCCCTGACGATTCCTTACCAGTCAACACTTCGGTGAACACCTTTCGCAGCGCTTCGATGGCTTCTTCGCCAATCTGGTAATGCACAACAAATCGACCTCCGCGCACCCTTACGCCGTACTTCTCCGCTAGCTCGATAAAGTTGTTGATGTCAACATGATGCGCGTCCAGATCTAGCCAAACCATGTTGGTATCTACGGGGTATTGCAGCTTGCCTCCAAGATCTGTCCAAATGCTCGCAATCTTCTTCGCGTTCTCGTGAGATTGGGTGAGCTTGCCACCGAGGAATGTCTCCTCAATGGCAACGCGCATGGGAGCCGCAACAACACCGGCTTGCCGCAAACCTCCACCAATGGACTTGCGGATCCAGCGGCTCCGCTTGATGAACTCCTTCGTACCGACGAGGATGCTACCAATCGGCGCGCCGAGGCCCTTGCTTATGCACAGGCTTATGCTATCGAACTCGGCGCAGTAATCTTTGAGAGAACCGGCACCCGCAGCTACAGCTTCCCACAGACGCGCACCGTCCAAGTGCATTATGATGTCGTGCTCGCGCGCCCAAGCTGATATACGCTTAACCTCGGATAGAGGCATAATCGCGCCGTTGAGCGTGTTCTCGAGCGATATGAGGCGTGTAGGGCAGGCATGAACGTCATCGGAGATGACTGCGTACTTTTGGATATCTTCCAGTGTGAGGTATGTCCCGTTCTTCGCATCCAGCGGTTGCACCATGGCTTGGCTCAGTGTCGCTACACCGCCTGCCTCGTAGTTGATGATATGGCCACGCCGATCGACGATGACAGCGTGTGGAGGGGTGGTAAGGTGTGCTCGAAATGCGACCTGGTTGCCCATGGTGCCGGATAGCACCAGGAGTGCCTCCTCCTTCCCACTGAGATCGGCAACGAATCGCTCGAGCGACAGTGTAGTCGGGTCTTCCATGGTGACATCGTCGAGCAGGGTGCACTCCTGGATGGCTTTCAGCATCGACATGGTCGGTGTAGTGTGCACATCGGAGCGGAAGTCAAAGGCCGCTGGGTTGTGCTCGCCGCCCCAGGCATTGCCATTGTGACTTGTGCCATTGGTCGTGCTTTTGCTACTCTTAGCAGTGTACTGGGAGAGCTCCGACATGGCTGAGTATGCCCGTGACGGGTGTAGCGGGCGCGGGGAGTGCAACGCGGGGTGGACGAGGGGTTCGGTGAAGGCTCGACTAGGCGCGTTCAGGGTCTTTGCTGGCTGGAGGTGAGGTCAATCGCACAGTCTGTGGACGGGACCACGTACTGCAGAGGCGAGTGAGGGGATATAAACGCGGTGGCGGCATTGCGGCGGCATGTTCAGAGGAAGGGCGCAAGGCGTGAAGCAAGCCGAAGATAGGCGACTACGGCGGGCGAGGCTGCTGTCAACGCGGAAACCCCACCACTCCGATTCGCCCAACCTTACCTCTACAACCATCGCAACAGGAAGGCGACTAACCCGAGTACCACAGTAACTCCTGCATTACAAACCATTCCCGACGGAAACCACCACCGCCCAAGCAGCGGCGTCGGTGGAAGAGGGTTCGACAGTACCTGTGACCTGGCGCACGCCTTGTGAGCGTATTCTGGCTATGTATCTCATCCACGAGTAGCCATACTTTTGCATGAACACCGTGCTGCAGCTTGCATTCAACTCTAAAGTCAAAATGCCCTGAGACTTCCGCTCTCGTTTCCGCTTCCGCTTCCTCGCTGAAGGCAGGTGCAGGACTGAGCGGCTCCGCAGAACAATCTTGCCACGAGTTGTGGAAGTAGCAGCCATGAGCGAATCAACAACAACGACCGAACATTCGGCATCTAGGGTCTAGCCTTTAACGTCAGGACACCTCTGTCGGGAGAATTTTTGATCTGGCTCTAACAAAAGATTATCACGACATCTCCGTATTTGCAACAAGAGCTTTGGTCTTGCCAATGTAAGGAATCTTTTGAGGGACATCAAGGCCCAAGTATCATGGTCTGAGAGACTGCTTCTTTACTACGTTTTGATTACCTGTATGCAGCAAAGTGAAGTACGACACGGACTCCCGCCATCCCTAGCGTCATGATTATTTGAGTTTCTCTATTCCACTCAACTACTCCCCGATCACCCATACACGATCGCTAACGATGCATGCGGCTGAACTCTAGATTTCCATCATTGCATCACAGGAAATCATTTACAACATGATCGATTTCAGGGTACTTCCGAGCGGCTTTTCGTCTCTTATCGCTTTCATATCCCCGGTTATTCGCAATCCTGGCCGACAATATAGTCCTTCACTTCTTCCAGCCAATCTACCATAAGCGAGTGCCTTTGGGCCGCACATAGTGCCTGGATTGCACAAACTGCCCACGACGCGTACCATTCTTCATATAGAATAAAGTGTGATTGCGAACAGGAGCATGCCCGCTGTAAGGTACAATCTGTGGACCGGGCCAGCGCGTTCCTGACGCATGGCATTCTGGGTTCCAGAAGCCCGCCTTGATATTCTAGGATCTCTCTACCTTTAGCTACCTGCTTCTCCAAAGTCCTTTTTGGTCACGCCTCGCAAAGATGTCCATACTTCTTCCTCTTTACGTATACCCAAGTGCAGGCGCTTGGGATCCGCTATACGCCGCGTACGTAAATTGTTCTTTGCTAGAGTGTATAATACTGACCAAGAGCCAGCGCGAAAGCGCATAGAAACGTAGACTTCAATGTCATCATCAACCCCTGCTCCGGCCCTTGCATGGGATCACTGCCCGATCAAGTGTACCTCGACGAAGTTCCCAAGCTACGAGCCTACCCAAACATCCGCACATTGGGATACGTCGCTACAGACTACGCAGATAAGCCCATCGAAAGCTTATTAGCAGAAATCGATACCTATGCGCGCTGGCCCAAAGTAACGAACATCACGAAGATGCGCGTTGACGGAATTTTCCTAGACGAGACACCAAGTACTTACGATGAGGACGCCTACGCATACTTGAAGACGGCAAACCAGGCAATCAAGAACAACACGGCGTTCAGCGACCGCTTCGTGGCTCACAACCCTGGTCTGATACCCACGTCCATCCTCACCTTGCCCACAGTGTTCCAAGAATCCTACCTCAACCTCACCGATCTCACCGTCGTATTCGAAGAGACTTTCGATAAGTGGCTTGATAGAGACGTCATGGTTCCTTTACAAGCACACAAGATTCGGCGTTCAAAGCTGGCCGTCATATTGCATTCGTTGCCGAATCTGACTGGAGAGGTGCTGGAATTTATGGTGCAGCAGGTTGAGAACACGGCGGATTGGATATTCTTGACGGATAGTGCTGATGACTATTATCACACCTTTAGCGCCATGTTTGGAGAGCTGGTGAAGGCGGTTGATGGAAGTAGTTGAGCGGAAGAAGGGGTTCCAGGCTAAGCGATCGCTGCGCAACCTTAGGATCGCAATCATTCGTTGCTTTCGTATGGTTGTGAACATCCGCTCTAGCTTCACAAGAGACCCGGCGCTGTTTACGCCGACTATGGGCAGCTCACAGTTCCGCCATGCAATTGCCCACCTTATCTACCATCTCTATGGTAGATCTGAACGTCAAACTGTCCCCCTCTTCTTGCGACAGCGACTTTTGCTGGGCTTTGATCAGACATCCCCCCAACAGCGCCCCGTTGGGTGGTCATGAAACCTGCACCGGCCGTTGAGTATGAAGTCATCCCAAATGTTGTAAATATTTTTCCCCCCATTGAGAATTCTTCTTTCTGTCTGTAGACACCGCGAGGGACGTGTCTTTGACGATTGTGGCTGCGGGTTGCAAACATGTAACCAAAGTCAGGGAAACAAAGATTCACTGTCTACTGCTAACGGAAGCGTCGTTAGAGAGTATTGCAACCACTTTGATGAACAAAAGGATCCATGGATGCGGCTCCTTTGTACAATATCCTGCGCCAAGGAACTAACCCCACTTGGGCCGAGCCACAGGGATGGACGCGCAGCGATCCATGGATGCCAAATATCGTCTTTCCCAATAAACACTGCGTACCCGGTACATAGTCGTGGGCCAACGCTTCTGTGAGAACCTATCTTCTAATCAACTCAATCTTCTTACGATCAATATGGGCGACTCAGAAGCCCTGGTGCCATACCGCCTTACGGGTCCTAAGAGAGATATATTGGACCAATGCTTCACAGACGCCCCCGCACCAAATGAGATGTTACAGACACATCAAAAACGACCCATGCCGTCCTAGCTGCGTGGCAAACTTGATGAGATGTTAATTCCATCAGAAGAAATGAAAGAAGCCACATACCGGAGCATCAGTCGCGCGTGGGAAGAGTACGCAGCCGGCGGTGAGAACCCTAGCGCGTTCATGCGATCACCGACTGGAGCGCCTTACAAGATAGTCTCCATCGAAGGCAAAGGCCGCGGTGTCGTTGCAACCCGCGACATCAAAGCTGGCGAGATCGTTCTGCAGGAGTCACCCGTCCTGATTATGCCACACCCCGATTTTGTGCCGCTGATCTTCCTCCTCTTACCCAAGGAGGCCCTGGAAGCTATCTTGCTCTTGCATAACGCGCGACCTAACGAAATGCGGTTCACGAAGGAGAGAGGAGACAACGCCCACAACAGGCTCCTAGATACACTCATGGGTTGCGTAAACTCTAATTCATTCAAAGGGGAGGCGTCATTTGGTCCAATTGGAATGGTTCTTTTGACTGGATCCATGTTCAATCACGAAAGTAACTCAAACGTCAGGAGGCATTGGGATCAGCAGCTGGAGCAGATGGTGTTCAAGACCGTTCGAGATGTCAAGGAGGGCGAGGAGTTCACGGTCCATTACTCCGACTCTGCAGAGGATCTGAAGAAGTACGGTATCTGAAACACATAGCGGCTGTTACAACACTGAGACCGCATCTACTTACATAGTTGCAAAATAACAATGTCGACATGTGCCATATATCACGTTCGGTGTGTGTAAGAGCCACTGCCGAGCGTTGAGAAAGGAATTAGGGTATCTTTAATAAGTGGTATCTAGAAACTCGAAATGCTAGTGCTGCTACTCGTGTTTTTCGGCTTATGTGGTCCAAACTGGTCCATCTCCATTTGCACAAGTGATTGCTCATCATGATCGGCATGCCGTATTTCAAAGGTCTTGGTGTACGTGATGGCGTTTGGGTCTCGCGCGCCATTCGAGACTGCCGATCGTCCTGGACCACTGGCCAGCGCACTACCGCCCTTCTTCATGCCATGACTTTGGCTACCGTATGCGTAATAAGGTCGTTCGGTGGCTTTGGTTGTGCCGAGGATCTTGGGGAATAAGTGTACGAGTATGACGCGTAGCGCAGGCAGGCAGGCGCAGATAATGCCGACATTGATCTCGATGTTAGACCAATTGATAACATCCGCTTGATCCCATGTTGGATTGGATGAGGCCGCGAAGTTGACGAGAGAGGATAGACGAAGGATTGAAATGATGGTCACACTGAGGTTTGAATCAGTACTTGTCGTTTGTAGTTTGTTGGGAGCGGAACTTACAATGTGCCGACGCAGAACATAACAGCGACGCTAAGCTTCTTGCGCCAGGAGAGCTGCAGGTGGAACACCTCATACAATGGCAAAGCGAGCATCCAGATATCCAAGACAATGCTGATGATGGCATTTGTCCAGGCTAGCCCGTTGATGTCGATACATTGGCCGGATCCTTCTCCATCCCATTTGTTCCAGTAGAAAGAGATTGGTCGGCATTGGAAGATAGCCACCAACGTGAAAGCAAGACCGTTAAGGCAGTTGAAGGCAATGGTTGCCCATAGAAGTCGCCTGATGCTGGGTTTCGGGAATATCCGCAGGAAGAAGAATAAAAGCGTGAGCTTCAGAAGCGCGACCTGAATGAAATAGAGTACCTCCAGAGCGTAAAGATATCTGACGAAGTCGGTGATTTGTTGGAAGCTGACGGTCCATACGTCTCGTCCTAGACCGTTTGGAACAATAGCCCTATCGATGATGACCACAGATGGAACACCAGCTATTAGTGCGGCCAAGACACTGTAGTCGTCGTAGCCAAGTTCACCGACGGAGAAAACGGCTTTGTATATGATCCTGGAGAGCGCACAAACGGCGGTGACGATCGAAAGAATCAAGTTGGATACACGGATTGATTCGCCGGAGTAACGGATTGGAGCGTGACAACTCGTTGTGGTAACGTTTTTAGTTGCTGAGAGTCGCAATCAGCAACAGTAAGCATGTTGATATAGCCTGGAGCACTCACTCAAACTCTGTCTCAGTGTACATGACTTCATGACACATGCCTCTACCTCGCCTTGCAGTTTGGCATCTGCACACACAGAGGCCTGGTCTGTATGCTGTACTGGCGATTGGGCAACTGCAGTGGCAAGACACACTTGCTGGAAAACAGTCAATAAATGCTGGTGATATTACTCCGTTTGAACATACCGCACATTGAGGAAGTTGCTCAATCACTGCCAGTAGAGCCGATTCCTGAGCGACTACCAGCTGTACCCATGCCAGCAATGGGAAAAGCAAATGAAGGGGCCTCATCCTTCTTCGTACTCGCACACGACCTTCGTGTACGATCGAACGGCCAGGAAGTGTGAGGCGGAATGGAAATGACTGCGATGGACCGGATCGGACCCTTACTATAAACTCCCTGGGAGGTCGGAGAATATCAAGAGCTGTCAAGAATGCCAGGCCCAGTCGCTTAGTTTCCGGGGCCTGCTCTATATGAGACCATAAGGGAAGGGAATAACTGCAGGTACATTTAACCATTGGGCATGGTGGACGGCAAGTGCAGATTGAGGTATACAGTGGGGCTGGACCGCCTCTAGTGCCGCTCTTCGAGGGTCATGCATCTTTCGTACCAGAGGTGTGTGTCTCGCCGTAGAGATGATCCCTGGCATATGCACGGAAGGACTTGCACTAGATTCCATGATTATTGAATACAACCAATGGGTCGGCTGAAACCCAGGGCGAATGGAGGTGTTGCCCCAGACCAGTCGAAGTGGGCCCCTGCTGACGCTTCGCAGGGCAGACGCTACCAACGACGGAGGTCATACTTTTCAGGAACAGTGGTTTGTCCACGCTAAGTGGACTTCGCCTATTATGCAGGTCGCTCATGAGTTCCAGGAAAGGAGACACGTCCTTCGTAAGACACCCTGGCTACCAGCAACCTTATCTATCTGCGTGGTTAGCACAGAACATACGAAACTCATGTGAGAATCCTCCGATCATTACCATTTGATTGCATACCCTGCCACAGCATGTTTGCTTCCGTGTGTATTGAAGCCTTCGAAGTTCCGGAAGGTTGACCAAAGATGGTGGTTCGTTCCGCAACGCCACAGACGAGCGATTTTGTGCACAGGTAAACAGCTTGGCGTACGCCACTAGCACACCTGCATGCCGTTTGCTCCACCTCGCGTCCGCTCAACCGCCGCCGAGCTTCGACCGCTACCGCTGCACTCTGCGCGGCTCGAAAAAATCACATGGGGGCCCATTTGCTTTTCGAAGATCATGTTCACTGACTCTCACAACGTCGACGATCGACTTGTGGAGATCGATGCGGTATTCGCGATACGCGAGGCAGGAACACGGCATTTCCATGCCCAGGTGTGTTTCGCGATGTTTGTCCTACAGCCAAGGCACCCATCGTCAGAGCGGCATACTCTGCACAAACGTGCCGCTCTCCATCACATGTCATGCTGACGCTGGTCTGAGTGTCACTGGCGGGACAGACTGCGGAGAGCAGGACATGACGGCCTGGAAACGGCCATTTTTTCGGCTAACGTTCCATACCACTGTGTCGCGGCATAGTGTGGCACGCATTCTTTAGCATATCCAAGGTCTGTGGTAACCTTGAAGACCCAGCCTCTCTGTTGAGCATCAGCAACTTCCTGGTACGGTTGCAATCTCGCCGTCTCTGAGCTAAGAAGCGAAGCCCTCAATCACATTGAGCACCTGGAAAAATCGAAATGATCTAGGAGCTATACCTCCGAAATCTCCAAGCCGCCTTCGAAGCATCATGTCTCTTTTGGTCATTGATTGGTGTGAGAACTTTTGTACGCCGGCGTTACTGATAACATTGCCACGGGAAAAGTTCTCGAATTCATCAACGTTCCATGACATGGCTACAAAACATATCCCGGCTGATACCTCAGCCCTACAAGGTATACCTGATGCACCTTCGAAACAGACCCATGCAATTGCGTGAAACTCCGTCCCTATCGCGTCCATTGTCCCCTTTCTTCGTGAGAATCGTTACTGTCCGAGTCGGTATTAGTGGGGCAATTTCGCGATGGCATGAGATTTGACTCGCAGCCTCTTCCTCGATTCAAGCAAAACATGCGTGCGCATCCCTCAGGATCACGATGCTTTGCGAATGATGAATGGCGCGCTTCAGGTTTCGCTGGTTCGTTGTCGGTCCGACGTCGTAATCCCCAGATCACGAGCGCGGGACCCTGCGGTTTTGCTTTTCTGTTCCAGCCATGGTGGCGCAAATCTTCGGGATTGCGTATAGTAGGCGCATGCATCCCGACTGCGCATCCAAAGGTTTCTTCATGATCCAGCGCAGTGGCACCCTTACGATTGACTAACGCGTTAGCAGATGGCATCTTCCGTGCACGTGTCGTCGTCCAGTTACGCGAGGTCGACGATCTCTACGTAGCAAAGGCCAGCGAAACCATCGAGTGCTGCTGATTCAGGAGAAAAATCCTTACAGATCCCGCTCTCTATGACACTCAGGCAACCTACTATTGAGAAGGTCATACAAGCTGAGTCCCCACTCTGCTCAGCCGCAAGTCAGCTCCAGCTGTCACTTTCGGGCCGCGCCCTCTGCAACGAGCCAACGTTTCGGTAACCAAACTTTGTATATCCAGAGCCACGCGTGACGACATGCGGCCAACGCAGGCATCGGCGATTGCCTTTACGCAAACACAGGTACTCACTCGCGTGGTCTTCGTCACGACACTCGGATCTACGCGGGTCGATCTCTCGGTTGCATGTACCAAACGGTCAGTCACCGGCATCACGCATCGGCATCTGCCAGGGGCCGACGATCACAACGTGGGCTTGACGAAAACGACCACTACTCTCGGGTGACTAGCCAAAGCCGTTTCTATATGCAAGGGCATTATCGACCACGCTGCAAGGAGCTGCCATTGGTACTTCCTAATCGAGAGTCATCCAATTGATTTCTCAACCCCTTTGGTCTTGCAGCCCTCATAGGCCACCCTTTTTCGAGACTCCATGTCTATATGTGACCGCATTTAGGGATCAAAACTTCAACATTCAGCTGCCTCTACACCACATGTGTACCTACTTCACCACCGGCAAAAAGAGACTCCCTATCAACACGAGTCCAAGGCGATACCAAGACTACCAACCTCTTCAGTAACACTGGCCGTCTCGCCTCGACTCTGGGTTCCCACTTGTCCTAGTGGTGATTATCTTCATGTGTTTGGCGAGCAAAATCGCAAGCAGCCGTTCTTCAAGATCGACAAAGCTCGAGCTTCGCCGGTAGTTTCGAGCGTATACCGAAGTCATGTGCCGAAAGCCCATACTCTCATGTGGCTGATGCATGCCATGATGACGTGGGCACCGGCCTCCTAGTTTCCTCTTTCCTCTCCATCTACAATTGAACTTTCTCTCAAACCAGAAGCAAGTATTAACATACCGATGCTGTCGTAAATTAGCAGCCTGCCTTCCGTGCAGATGGCATATTTCAGAAGGGAGTGTAAGTAATCGATGACACGTGAGCCTCACGACACTTCACTGCAAGCCGCACCTCCGGTCACGTATCCATCGTTGCACATCCGAAAGGCTAATTTGACAAAGCTGCTACGAACCGACACATGCAGGTTGCCGCTGGAG